TATTCTGTTCTATTCTATTCTATTATATTATATTCTATTCTATTTTATAGTTCTATCCCTATAAATAGTTTGTGAAATTACAGAGAGAACACGATATTTAAGCACAACATAAAATTATTGACTTGAGCTTCTACAATAGTCTGATGTGATACACTGTTGTACGATGATGGTTAGACATGTTTGAGATCACTTTTATAATTTCTTACAAGGAGTTATAGCAATTACTTTATCAGTTATCTTCTGCCCCTTACTAAATAAGACCAATATATAATAATATTGCGTAATAAAATATAACACTAGGGAACTATATGTACTTAAGTTCATATTTTTATTAGTTTTATTTTCAGCCATGACCTGCACACTGCAGGGCCTCCCTACCATCCTTCCAATCTTCTCTATGTAAAACTTTCGGCCAATCCTTCTCACAGATGTCCTGTTCGTCCCGCCATCTCCTTTTGGGTCTGCATTTTCATATATTGATCTTAAACTATAACTGTATCATTCTAAGCCATGCTTAAGTACTTACATAGACCCTCAACCATACGATTCTTAAATGTAGTATCTAAGTCTCAAATCTAGACATTCACTGCACAATATACAAAAGTAAATACAGAACAAAACAAGAAAACAATGGCCTAAGAACAATATAGCGCCAAACACCATACACCGACAGTTACCTGCTATCGCTATCATCAGCCGCTTAATAGACTGCGCACGAGTCGGTCACACTTGGTAACTCCGATACAGATGTCCTATATCCATCTCTTTTACTCCTTTACAAAAAACAGGGGTCAGAATATACCTGTCTCTCTCGTGTGATTAATATAAGAACACGTGCCGGATGGTACGTGTTTAAATATTCACAATGAATAAATTCGAATTATTAAGCGGATCTTCGGTTAAACGGAAATGTGATATGCAAATTTATTGATATGACAATTTATTGTCTTCGAAATGTACTCTTTTAAACTACCGTATTGGAATTAAGAAAGAGTATCTGGATAACCGGGCTTTTCTCGGTGTTTTTTAGCTAGATCTAGAAAACCCCTACATATAAAATTTTAAAATATCGTTGGAGCTGTTCCAAGATCATTAATACATACATACAAGAATGGCTTATTTAATGCTATTAGATAAATTAGACAAATGTAGCACTTATAGTCCAATCAAATTAAGTTAGTAGGGTAAAACTACTTCGCAATACATGAGTAAGTAAGGACGCTCTCAGATGATACTTGAATCTTCTGCTGCAATCTCCTACCAGTACACCAATCGCGGATTTATTACAAAATCCTCGTATATAAAGGAAATATACAGTAGCGAACTGTCACGGTTTGTTAATGATGAAGGATAATAATCATACAAAAGTAATGATTATAAAACAGTAGCAGCGCTACAGTCGCCACGCCACGGGTCGCGGAATGCTACTCATGATATAAGCCTCTAGCATGGCTTGAAACTAGTCGAGTTCCTCGTCAAATTATAACGTGAGTAAGCTGAAAAGCATAATAATTAATTTAGTATATCTCACGAAAGTTATTGTATAACTATAAAAAGCACTTCTAAACCAAGTACTTTGTAGACTGAAAAGGAATTAAACAGATTACACCATAACTTCCGAATGTCCATCAAATAGATCACCATCTTCCAAGCACAAGAATAAGCATACACTTTTTCTCGGCATTAAAAAACATAAATTGTACTAACATACTTGTGCACCGTGACGAGGGTGTGCAACGAAGCGATGCGCAGGAGCAACGGCCTGTGCAATACTTGCTGATGTTTTCTTGCAAAACATGTATTTTGTTTGGTATTTTACTGTCGTTGAGTTTCTGTTTTGATGACAGATGGCAGATTGTTAGGTAATGTATGTACAATTTTATTTTTAGTAAGTGTTTCTATAAGTGATTATATTATTACGTCTGTATTGCAGTATATTAAGGTGGTTTCCTTTAAAATTTTAATAATTTTATGTTATCAGACATACGAGACTGGCTTAGCCAAAGAGCACAATTCTAGGGTCCGGGCTAAGCTAAGATGTTATACAAAAATACAAACAAAATTCAGTATTTTTTTTCGAATAGGTAACAGAAAAATCTTCAATATAATTATTTACCTTTGCACCTACGACCACTTATACTCAACCACACATTACCTTCATTATTTACCAGAACTAATCTTCTTTCTCCCCATCCTAATATCTTTCAAAGTCTCACCCACAATATTAACACTTACTCCCAAATCAAACAATTCACCCCATATATTGAAAATACAATTTACACGTTTGGAATTCAAGTCGCGATATCGACATGGGAAGACAATCATAATTTAATGTCAGTATGGCATTCTGCCAAACCCTGGTATATTGCCTCTTATATCGCAATTTGCTCATTTCTTGAGTCAAAAACCTCTTGTAAGAGGTGATTTGGCACTTTCTGAAGAACTTTTGGAGACTCTGTGGTAGATTACAAAAAAAGATATATGTATTTTGCTTTTGTTTATTTCGTTGATCGTTTGGTCTTGGTGTCGATTATCCAGTCAGATTATAAATAAGATCTCGATCATAATGTACTATTTTATGGGACTTACAACATCATAAGTAAAAATTGTTTACGAAATGAACAAAATATTTTATGCATCCTTCCATGTCATGGATAAAATGAATTGACTCAAATTAATATTATGTTCACAATACAATGGATTTTAAAATTTGATACACCGTTTTTTTCATGGAATAGGAGGCAAACGAGCGGACCATAGATAAACGCAAACGCAAAACAACAAACACCAATCAAAATAACATTGCTAACCCGTTAACCGAGTGAAAATATCAAAACATTTTCTATGGAATTTGCACCAAAAGTACCCAGTGGCGATAGCTAACCAAAAAAATACTGCACCATTTTTCCATATTTACAAATCACAGTCGAAATTCAACCAACACCGCCCAAATGTTGCCAACGGACTGCGGAAAAAAAAAACAAACAAAAAAGAGCCCTTTGACATTGTTCTGTCATGTCAAACGTGTATTTTTTAATTCCTTTTGTGGACATTTACTGAAGATAGTGTAATGAGTTCGTCTGTTCACAATGGTACTGATGTCACGGGTCCTAACTCAGATAATACAACTCCGGTGTATGCAATATGGCGGCGGGCAACTTTCTGCGATGTGCACACACCCCAATGAACAGACGACGAGTTTTAATAAAACTGTTTGTTGGGAATGATGTAAGTGAAACCAATCAGACCCTTATGCTATATTGTGTAGGGTTTCTTTTAGGAAATATTGTTTATAATAGTTTTGTGCTAGTCTTAATAAATGTTTAACTTTACAAAGGCCCCAGATGAATGATGCTCTAAATTTAGGAATTCTCGAAACTTCATTAGTCGAAGAGTATTGAAAATTAGGCACAGAATTAAATTAAACAATTTTCTAATAAATGAAACAGCCGGGCTCAAATTCAATATCTACAATACCTAAAATTTCAAACCAAGTATTGCTTCAAAAGGACAGCATAATGTTCTCAAACATTATCGAGTCAAGGCCCCTAAAATTAATTTCACAGTTGAGATTTATACAAATTACGCGGACCTTAATAAATTAATTCTCTTACTCCGTATAATTTCATTAATACAAAAGCAAAAACGGTATCCAATAATAACAACGAAATATTTGACGTAAAAACGGGCGAGGAGCTCAAAAGCATCCCCGGAATTGATAGGAAACCACGAAACAATATTCCGGTGGATTCCTCCGTCGATAATATGATGTTTCCGCTAGAACGGCAGCCTAATGCGTCCTCCCGGAATCCCTTCAATTTTGTGCCAGATTATTTTGGGTAAAAATAAAAATGTTTATACAAATATCTGTGAAACTGATTTTCTTTTGCTTTTGTTCTCTTTCTGTAAAGAATTGACTGTCTTTCATGCTTATATTTCGACCTAATTATCTTGAGAATTAAGTTGTTTTTCATTGTACAGATTATGTGCACCAATATTCTCAAAACTGTGGTATAAAAGTGAATATAATATGCGAAAAGTCTATTTCCTTTCTGTTAGCTAGAAAAACCGGTTCTGTTCCAACGTTAGTTTTTGTTCTTGCAGTTTTAATTTCAATTCATAGTTGGTACTATACACTGAAGCAGATAGACCGTACAATAAACAATAGAGTGCAATGATTATTATCTTTCTTTAAAAGTATACAAACGTACTAAAGCTTAATTAATGTTCATTTTAATTGAACTCTTGTTAACCGTAATGTACAATCACACAGCATGGTACAAATATGTACCAGAAAACAATTTTACCAAATTAATGTTTGTAAAGTTAACATCGAATATGACAGCTGCCTACCACTCATTTAAGCCAATTGGATGGGTATTTATGGAGCCCAGTGGGTCTGACCAGTGGCGCGAGAAGGTCCCAAGGGTACTGCGGCAAACTCTCCCGTACTCTCGTCATTATTGATTCTGCCAATACCACGGAATGTTTTAATTTTTTGTCCTGGAATTTGAGCCATCCGGGACACAGTCCAGTTATCGTGTCCCGAGCTTGTCGGGATAGATTGGGTTTTTGCCAAAATTATTGTATTGGATAACATGCCGTTGGAACAATCTAGAATTTTGTTTGAGTGAAATATTGCTTGATATTTTTTGACGTTTTATTATAAGGAATAAATAGGCTTTGTTACCTAAACTAGACTTTAAAATTGTGTTCAAAGAATACAATTTTTAGTTTTGTTGAAACAAGCTACATACTAACCTTTATTCTAATTTGCCTAACTAGTTTTGAACACGGATTCGGTTGGGTAACACTGGATTAGTCAGCAAAGTTGTTTCATCATGTATTAGTTAATTATTCAGTAAGAACTTGAATCAAGCATAATTTTTATCTTTTTACATAATTAGCGTATGTGTTTTATGGCAATCAAGTTCATTGTAAGTAGGTTTTATTTTAATAAAAAAAAATCTTTCTTTTATCCCTCATTAATTTTGTTCCAGGTGTCAGTTCAGTTCGCATCATAAACATTCGAGTACCGGATATAATTCAATACGGAACTAAGGACTCTATCACACTAGACTGTGACTTCGTGACGAACAATGTCACTGGTCTGGTAGTCAAGTGGTTTTATATGGATAAGACGACGCCAGTGTACCAATGGATCCCACCGCAAAAACCTCAAGCTCTTGGAATTTTGAGAAACAAGGTAAAAAAATACGCTATTCACAATTGCGATTGTAATAGTTGCTACATCCTATTTGTTAGGAATGATCAGTATATTTTTTTCCAATATACAAATTCTAAACACCTAATGATATTAAACTGTCAAACACCGCGAGGACAAAGGTGACCGCAACCTTTTGTTCTTTAATTGTGTCTATAATGACGGTACTCAAAGGGTTAAGCCGATCTAGGTATCAAACTGGAAACATAAGTTCAGCTCTGTAGTCACTCAGAATCACCAGAAAGTCAAGTCAAGATTAGTAAAAAATATTTTCTGTTTTCGCAGGTGGACTTATCATACAAAGTATCACACAACCCGTACACACAGCACCGAGCTCTCCACATCACGTCTCCGGTTCCAGAGCTGACCGGCAACTACACTTGTGTGGTGTCCACCTTCCTCGCTGAAGATGAGAAGACCAGACCCATGACTATATTTGGTGAGTAATCATTATTATCATCGTTAACAACCTAATAATGTCCAATACTGAACAAGGATCTTTCTTCAAAGAGTTCTTTTTTATGGGATAAGCCAGTAAATAAAAATGCGGATCACCTGATGGGAAGCGATTAGCACCGCCCATGGACACCTAAAATACCAGAGGCGTTACACGTACGTTACCGGCCTTATGAGGATTAGGAATGTGAAAATTGTTGAGGATTCGGAGATTGGGAAATGGAGGGGAGGAGGGGTAATTGCGCCTCCAATAACCTCAACCACACGACGAAACACAACGCCAGCGTTGTTTCACGTCAGTTTTCTGTGAGGCCGTGGTATTACTCCGGTCGAGCCGGCCTATTCCTTCCCATAATGCGTGCGTCATAATCTTAGTGCAGAAAATGCAGTTAGGTCAAATTTCAAATTTTAAAAAACACTGCTGTCTATCCCTTGTGCTAACTAGTGTCATGCTAATAAACATAGGTGGCACTCAATTCAGCGTTAACTAGTCGAGGTGTTCTTTCTAATACATGTTTTACTATACCAAAAGCGAATGTTAGTGTTGATCTAACATTCGCCAACAAAATTACGAGACATTTGAAAAATATTTCGTACTAAACACCAACAAAAACCAATAGGTTCCATATAAATACAGAACAAACAATGAAAATTCATCAATCCGTCTAGAAATTCACGCAGGAAATTACAAAACATTAATAATTGATAGTACACAAATGAAATGCAACGTACAACGTAACGTAACAATACGTACATAATAACGAGCGCGTAGCAGCTTCTGCAACTGTTACAGTAGCCGGTACTGGCCGCAACAATAAGCTTTGTGCACTGAGACTAAACGGAAATTACTTCGAGCAAGTTTATCTACAGGTGCAAGCAGTTTGTTGCTTGTTATACTTCATTTTGGGATTGGATAAGTTTATCCCTTTGTTCTAGGAATTGTGTGTTATGACTATTATTATTAAAATACTTTTTGGTGTAATGAGGAAGGGCTATGCGAGCCCATTAGTTGTTTTCTGATCAGTATACTTACTCACACATAAACTTAGCGCCATTTTATCTAAGTATTGCAACTTAATACGACAAAATAAAAAATACGTGTGTAGGGACACATATCAATAAATACATAGTAATATACTACACATACTACACGTACGCATTCACTGCTGAGATCGCACTTTAATGGCGGCTGCGCCCGCCTCGTAAGTTTCTACCCAGTCGTGAATATATGGAGTTGACATTAAGACGTATTCACGACTTATTATCACGTCGCGGTCACCAATGTGGGTGCGTACTAGTTATGAAGGATATAAATTATACACGTCTTGATGTCAACTCCGTATATTCACGACTGGGTAGAAACTTACGAAGCGGGCGCAGCCGCCATTAAAGTGCGATCTCGAACGAAAATCTAAAGATTTTTAATTTTGATCCCATGGAAACTACCCAATTATAATTTGATTTCACGGTGGCTATAAGTCTCAGACGTACTTTGGAAATACACTTTTAGAAGCAAATCAGTTCTTCGTAGTAATGAATTATTCGCAAAGTTCATTAGTTTCACGAATAATAAATGAATAACTTATAAATAAAGACACTGTTATACTTACTTCAAAATACTAAAATGGCAAAGTAAACAAAAGTAGACGACAGATCCAGTGAAGATCTGTGAAACTTTCATATTTCATCGTAAAGATTTTTCGTTCTTTGTATTTTTACAAAACCGTAATGGACAGTACATCCCGACGAAGAAAGAAAAATAATGAAATGAAGATGCGATGGTCTAGAAAGTTCGGGAAACTTCCTTGAAATGTTTTAGTAAAATTTTCTAGCGAAACAACGGTTTTTTAATAAAAAGTCAGCTTTAAGTGTATTACGAACAGGGTATGGCGGACTAAAAGTCAAAGAAAGCAAGCTAATGGAATACAAATGGCTGTTTTGCTTATATTAGAAAATCCATCAATATCTGAAGCAACAGTACAGTGTCCACCGCATTTATAATGAGCTGGAAGAGACGGGGCTTTGTGGACTAATTAACTAGAGCTTTGGTGAAATATTACAGTCTTAATGGAATGTCTTATGAGCCAATTATATTGGAGACCAGAGTATTCTGTCTGGGTAGTAAAGTAATCTAGAATCCTTTTACGTAATTAACTTCACGCATTACGTCTTAGTAAACTTAATCAAACTCATACGTTATACATCACATTTGATTCAGCTATTGTTTAATGTGTTTACAAAGCCATTAAGTTACATAACTTTTGACCATCTTTACTTTACATAAAGTATTAATACAAATCTTCATCTAGAGCCTCCTAAAGTGATGTTCAACACTTTTCAATTCTGTCATACTTAATTTTATTTCTTAAAGAAGAATAATGTAATCTTAAATAATCTTCAAACCTACCGTTTAATTAACAAACATCAGGCTTACTAATTTGGAAACAATATTGACTTCCATATTGTGATAAGAATGATTTAAATTTTTCCATTCCCATTCCATTCAGTTTAACTCTATGTTGAATAGGAGCAGTATCCATTACCGTTCGCGTGATCATAGACAGTAGATATTGTGTTCCTAAAACATAGTCGTTCCAGCAAACTCTACAATCCGACAAACATTTACGTTATACTCTGATGGGGTATCGACGACATAAAAGGTTTGAGAATAGGGTATAAACTATTATATTTGGTTCTTAACGGTACATAAAGTATAGAATGTCGTGAAAATGTATTGGGTTGATGATTGGGATATCTTTAAACTTGCAGACTTACAATTGATATTCTTCTATTCTATAATTTAAAAATGTGGGAGAGCCATGTTTCAACACGAATGGGCCGGCCCGACCGGAGTTTTACCATGGCCTCACAGAAAACCGACGTGAAATAACGCTTGCGTTGTGTTTCGTCGTATGAGTGAGAGTGAATCTCCCCGATCCCTGAAACCGCAACAATCCTGAAATTCCTAATCCCCAAAAAATCGGTAACGCACTTGGAACACCTTTGGTGTTCCGGGTATCCATGAGCGACGCCGATTCCTTACCATCAGGTGATCCGTATACTCGTTTAACGGTTTATCTCATAAAAAAAATAACAAAGTAGGATAGTACAAAGTACAAAATAAGATATATGTAAGATAGTAGATAATATCTCTAATCGAATAGTCTATTATCTAACGTCATTCCACCTTCACATATTACTGTATCTGATAGTAACATGGATTAAACTGACAACACATTACGTGAACTTTGTACTTTCAATATTGCAATAGCACCATTTAAACGCACTAAAAAACAAAATTGTAGAAAGTACGTACCAATTTATTTTTATTTAAAAGTTTTCCTGTATTGTAAAACCAATGGCTGTTGCTTCCCAATTTTCGGCTACGGAATACAAAAATGCATTTCATAATCGCTTGATAGGATTATATCGATGAAAAATTTAATCAATTATATTTCATTGGTAGGATCGGCTCATGTTTTCAGTCACATCTATTATTCAAATCACAAATGTGAGTACGGGTAAATTTCATTTCAGGGATCGAATATTTTTACAAATTCTGCTAAATAAATAATGGTTCCGTTATTTTGTAATTGTGTCCCTATCACGGATGGAATCACAAACCAAAAGCAAATGCACGAATTCAATCAGGTTCATATTACGTATTTTGATACTAAACGTAGTGGAATTATTTAACACATTTTCCAATTAGGTTCAATAACAATGTTTTTCGTAAAATCATTAATTTTATTGCAAATATTTTGCTTAAATCAAATTTATGGTATAGTCAGTAATTGTTATTTTTGTTTATATAAATATGTATATTGTTGCTATTAAAAATATTTTGGGTTTAAATTAAGGCTGGCCTTGTCACTCTTCTAGTTTTCTAAGAAGCGTTGATCGCTTACAATCAGGGATTGATTTTTTTCGTCCTCGCTATATTTTTTTCAAAATTAATTATGGTTTTTGTCTCTCTACTAATTCTATAATAAATTCCACAGTACCAGAAACAAAGTTTGACATGATTCAAGATCGGCTGGATGACAAATACCTGAACATCATATGCTCCGTTGAAGGGGTCTACCCGAAGCCAGAACTGGTCATTTTAGCTGGTAACAGGTACGCCTTTTAATTAGTATTCTAAGTTAATTACTTTTTCGGCTTTAAAACAAGATTGTAACTGATGAAAAGGAATAAATTGTTTAACATACCGTTAAGATCGATGCAAATGAAAAATATTACTCAAAGATTGACTGCACAATTGGTGCAGACGTGTCGCGCGTTCGATTCCCACACGGAACAACTCTTTATGTCATCTATAGATTGTTATTCCGAGTCTGGGTGTCATGTGTTTGTGAATTTGTATGTTTATAAACGCACCCACGACACAAGAGAAATTCCTAGTGTGGGGTAACGTTTTTATACCTAAGGCAAATTTCACAAAGATATACTAGGTCATGAGCTAAACGTTTCACAGATACCATACCTCCAAGTCATAAGAGATCAGTGATCAAAGCATATCTGAATACAACTGCCATTACCGCATTCCTTAAATATATTTTCAACCTTCTAATTTTTGCAATAAAGTTAACAATCGATTAACTGTACGGTTACCTTCTTGTACCATCGTGTGTACGTCGCATGGCTTGAGATGTCATACTAAATTGGACTTTAAAGGCTTTTTCTACGATATCTGATCGTGATGCAAATCGTTTGTGAGATTTTTTACACTTGAATTAAGACTAGATATTTTTGGGAAACATTTCGCCTTTTTTAAAGATATATAGTTTCAAGTAGTAGCGTTAAATGTTACTATTTTTGTGGTCAAATAATATTATATTATAATGTTTAAATATAGGTGTTACATTTATTAACTTTTTAATAAACTTATTATACTTTGTCCGAGTAGTGTTTCTTCTCAGAATAGTCAGATAGGAAATATGACAGTCTAGCTTATACATATATATATCACAAAAATTTAAGTCTACCTACCTATTCAAAGAAACACGTGTTTAACAATTGTGACTTTTATTTAAATCATATTTTTTGCTACCTACACGCGTACTCCTACGTAAAATGTTCTGAACAAACTAATCTTGTGAAGTAGGTAGAGATAGACTGAGCTCAAATAGCATTTAGGTAACTCTTTATTCTGGTACCAGAACGTAACAAGTAAAAGAATTGCTACATGTAATAAAAGATATGTACATATGTATGTTACCAATGAGGACACGTATTCAACATGTTAATTCATTTTACATTGAAAACCCACATTTTTTGCACATAAACTTTCAAATAGACAACAAAAAAACAGCCCCCAAACACACAACAATACTCTAAAACCTGTCTAGACTCTATTGACAAAGTAAATAAGGTTCAAAATTAATCACAAAACCTCAAACACAAGTCTGAGTACCAGACAAAGAAAATGTAAACAGAAAATCATTTCGAATATGATATAGTGGAAAATAAATTCCAATGAATTGGTTCGAACAGGCACAACGGCTGAAACTTCCGGACGTCCGATTGGTTCTTGAATAATACCGGATACGATCACTTGAACGTTCCTCAATTTTGAAAACATACGACAGGATATTGCTGCAAGACACGCTTTGTTGTGTTAGAAAGAAGACAATGGCATTTTTATATTATTGTTTGAGTTAAATTCAGTATTTTGTCTTTTGTTATTTTTATGTAAATACCATGAGTATGAAACGTCACACAACTTACTACAACGTCCTAAATAATTTGCGACAATTTTAGTGTCCAAATTTTTTATGTCTGAAACTGATCAACTTTACGATCTCAAATGAGGATTGAATGAGTGTTTTCTTCTAAATTCTAAGAATAAAAGACTTCGTTTTAAGCTCAGAGACTGGTAATTACGGTTACAAAACAATATAAACTAGTAAATGAGCATTTAATAATATTTTCACTCTTGCATTTCCATCACCTACCTTACTTTTAATCCTCTCAACATTACCGTTCAAAATGTCATTCCCTATAACACCCGCTTTAGAAATTTTAGACTGAATAATTTGGATGCTCCGTGAGAGTTGGCTAACAACCCCGACATCGGGTTTGCGATCACATACCTACCCGAGTGGATTTAGTTTGTCGTACTGATATTACCTCCTCTCTATAATCCTGGTACGACGTATTCGTATGAAGGCAAGTAGCCTTTAATCTTCCTCTGCCTTGTCGGCGTAATACGGATATGAAGATTTTTCTTTTTTTGACTATGTTGGTCTTTTTTCTGTCGATGTTAGGGTCTACGTAAGGGCTACTTGTTTGGTTTTCTTTTGATAAAACATGTGCAATGTTGTGGTATTGGAGTTTAATTTTAGAGAGGCAGTTTCGTATGCACTTCGGAAATGCTGTCAGCGCTACTCGTAGATTAAGAATTAAAAATAATACAACCTTAAACCAAAAGATACTTTTTATCTCCCCAAAAAACAATCAGAATTTCGACCTTATAACATACAAAATAAAAGGAACTATCACTCTTTTCCCTTAACAGATCTGACAAAACAAATGTTTGTTCAAACAATGAAATCTGTCTACAGGCCACTGAACGCTAAGTCGTCGATCAAAGTCATCGAGGGCCGGTACACAGCTCTGACGAGTTCCGTCGTGAGGATAGACGCCCTCCCTCCAACTGTGGAGATCCTCTGTGACATGCAAGTTCCACTCGCCAACTATTACAGCAGGAAGAGGGATATGTTCTATAGAGGTGAGTTTTTTATTATCGAATCTTGAAAACTTTGAACCCCGCTGAATGTTTGGGAAAGTAGAGCGTAGTTGTAGAGCGACTTAAGTAACTCTTGTGATTTAAGCCAAGGATACACAAATACAAATGTCCTGCAACACGTGTCGCCAGCGACGTTGGGTGAAGTAGCGCGACGTTGCCGGACTTTGGATGACATGTCTGGCAACATCAGCAAAGACATAAGTCTCGCGTTGTCACCGTACATGTCAAGCGACATCGGCCGGCTTCACTTGTCGCCGATACAAGTGTGGCGACAAACGTCACTTGTCAAATATCGGTGAAAAACAAAACAACGGATGACGTCACAAAAATTTTACATTGCACAAGTTTACATGCGAAATAACATGAATAGAAAATTCCGACGAACAACTGTTGGGCAGAAAGCCTATCAGGCACAATCACCTCGCCTGGTCGGAGGATCCTCCTTTTCCGATCTTAGGGAACCTCTGTTCCCTAAACATGTCTTATGAATGCTATCATTTTTTAAATAAGTTTTACTCTTCTGGTTCGTTGTGTATGTTTTGTTCAAGTTTTATTATTTCATCATTTATTTTACCTGACCTGACATCATTTATTTTAGACTGCCTCGTTGGCCGAGTGGTCGCAATTGCGACTGCCGGGTAAGGGGTCTCGGGTTCGATTCCCGGGTCGGGCAAAGTATTACTGGGTTTTTAAAAAATTCTCAGTAGTAGCACGGAGTCTGGAACTGTGCCCGGTATATGGCAATAGGCTCACCCCCTATTACATGGGACTCATAACATAAATAGTGAAAAGTGGGTGTTACATTGTACAGTGGTATAATGTGCACCTCTGCCTACCCCTTCGAGGATAAAAGGCGTGATGTTATGAATGAATGAATCATTTATTTTATTACTAGCTTCTGCCCGCGACTTCGTACGCGCAATCCCATTTTCCCCCCGTTCCCGTTCGTGATTTTTGGTAAAAAGTAAAAAAAAGTATTGTATAAAAAGTATCCTATGTCCGTCTCCTGGTTCTAAGCTACCTCCCTGCCAATTTTCAGCTAAATCGATTGAGGCGTTCTTGAGTTATAAATAGTGTAACTAACACGACTTTCTTTTATATATATAGATTACTCTAATTGGTTTTTGTTTTCAACCTTTGTGACTGTAAATAAATAAATAAATAAAAATAAATAAATATCTTGGGATATTTATCCCCTAGTGTTTCTTTGGATTTATGGTATAGGAATGCAAAAAAGGTGGGAATAAAGTTCTGTCTTACCTTACCTATTGGCAAATGTATTGTACATTTGGCAGAAAATCTCATAGACATATTAATAATTTGTGTGATATTATTTCAATAACAAGCTTGTTACCCATTCAAGGTAAAAAATAATAAATATAACAATATTCTCATAACAATATATTTCCCCGTACAAATCATACCATAGGAAAATTTTCCTGTACGTTTTGAATGAAGTTATTCATATGAATCAATCCACATGCGACATTCATCTTCAAAGAAGATATAACTTCATATTATAACTTGGGAATAAGTCTTATAATTGCTTGCTATGAATGAGTACAAAAGCCTTTTTTCCATTAAGATTGTTAAGGCTAGTCCTTATTGAATGTATATTCTTATACTGATATGGGTACACGAAAATCTTACTTACCAGCAACTGAATACTACTTCATGCTGGTATTCTAGGAGATGGTGGCACTTCCCCATTTAATGCTTGTTTCAGTTGTTAGGTTCTAACAATAATACAATGTTTAATTTATTTGTTTACTTTTGTTATAGATCCGCCATTATCTTCGACTGAGATACCTAATTTGAAGCAAGTGGCACCTGACTCAGGTAACAACTTACTACATAGTATAAAACAAAGTCGCTATCCGCCGTCTGCCTGCCCCTATGTATGCTTAGATCTTTAAAACTACGCAACGGATTTTGACGCGGTTTTTTTTAATAGAGTGATTTGTGTGGAATGTCTATATGTATAATACATGCATATTGCACCGGTGCAAAGCCGGGGCTGGTCGTTGGTATAAAATAAGAAATATACATGCATACATACATTTTCTTTACGCCTGTCTCCCATGGGGGTAGGCAGACACTATGGAACGCCAATTTCTACGATTCTTACATACCCCTTTATCTTCTTCAACAGTCATCGTCTTTTTATACATGCTCTTCGGTTCCAGGTTCTTTTAATAAGAAATATTTTACGTTTTTATCAAAATCAAAGTCAAAACATATTTTATTTCAATGAATCGTTCATTAGGCACATTTGAAACGTCAAAAATAGAATTGCCCATTCGTCCCTCAGTCAGTGAAGCTAGCTGCTCGTTCAAAAGTTTAGTTTTAAATGGACAAGAAGTGAAGGTTAAAATGGGTGTAATTTTTACTTTTATTTTAGATAAAATGTTGTTATATTTTTATTATTCCTAAGAATGGATTATCTTCATTTATTAAAAAAAAAACAAACAGGTGCTAATTTTCTATAAATATTAATCTTTTTGAAATCTTTTACAGGTCACCATCTCGCATCGACATCGGCTTTGATCATCACCTCATTAGTAATCAGCGTACTCCGATTACAAGCAACTTGACAGGATTAAATTAAGATTACTGATGTAAATAAACACTTAATAAAATTAATAATCTTCATTAACCACTGAATGTACGTTATTTGTTGAGATTCGACTTAAAATCAAGTTAATAAAGTTCAAGTTGCAGTGGTTGATTTTTTATCAAAAGAAGGCGTTGTCTAATATATTTTTGTAGATACTAAATAATTTAATATAATGTATTTTTTATACTTATAATTATAAAGTCGCAAATGTAATTAAAAATACAATTAAATGGCTAATATCCAAAGAAAACGAAATTTCATAAAGAAATCTAACGGGTCCTTAATTTTATTGAATTTAAAATTAAATGGCCTGAGCCGTTGCTACACATTTTTTATGAAAACCCCTACTTACATTTTTCACAAGACCCATAATTTCATTTTACCTAATATACATATTAAAACAATAAAATAATATAATTTATTTATGTGTGTTCACAATAAAATAAAACTTATCGACATATGATTGTAAATAAATATAAGAAATAGGTATATTATCTATTAATAGAAGAAATGTTTTGAACATTCCAAAGATAAGTTTTGTCTAGTCTTAAAATAAAAATTTGTATTAAACATGACCTTGTATCTTTTTATTTCCCAAGTAATTTTAGGATCACTCCCTATTACATGGGACTCATAACATAAATAGTGAAAAGTGGTTGCTACATTGTACAGTGGCATAATGTGCAGTGTTACATTGTACAGTGGCATAATGTGCAGTGTTACATTGTACAGTGGCATAATGTGCAGTGTTACATTGTACAGTGGCATAATATGCACCTCATTGTTATGTAATTTTAGGATTAAAGTCTCTCTCTCCCTCGATCGCATTTATAATGTGTCTCAAGTTTGATCGAGCTAAGTACAGTTGGCTGACGTTTTTACACAGGGCATATAACACACATATCCCATCACACATCAACAGCCTATAAGTGACCGCTGCGCTGTTGATCAAAGGCCTCGTCTCACACGGAGAAGGTTTGAGCAATAATCACCACGCTTGCTGGATGCGGATTTGGTTGCGATTTCAAACTTATAATTATAAATTATAAAGTCCTGGTTTCCTCACAATGTTTTCCTTCGCCGTTTATCAGTGATGTCAAAATAATCTTAGAAATTACATATAACTCGGATAAAGACAAAGACAATGCATCAGAAGCGGGCGTCTTAGACCTTCGAGTCACCACGACTGACACAAGACTTGTAACATAACTGGTTATGAGGTTTTTTTAATTGTATAATATGCACTTATGCTTAATCATTCGAGGATAAAAACACGTGATATTATGAGTGCAAAAATGATCAAAGTGTTATTTAATGTATGTTACACATTACGATTTAACGCTACGAACTCACGACGCGATTCTCACCCGCGCCGTGCTGGGCACGGTGGCGGAATAGAGATTTATTGCCTGCCTCGTTGGCCGGGCAAGGGTTCGATTCCCGGGTCGGGCAAAGTATCGATGGGTTTTTAAAAAAAAATTTAATAGTAGCACGGAGTCTGGAATTGTTCCCGGTATATGGCAATAGGCTCACCCCCTATTACATAGGACTCATAACAAAAATAGTGAAAAGTGGGTGTTACATTGTAGGTACACTGGCATAATGTGTACCACTGCCAACCCCTTCGGGGATAAAAGGTGTGATGTTATGTTCTGTTATGTTAATCACGACACCGCTGTTTTTTGCGGTTCCGCAGCCGCCGGTGCCGCGGTTGCGTTTATCGCCCACAAACTTGGCGGTTGATTATTGCGGTTGGACCGTTTTAACTACCCAGTCGAACGATTCAGCTGTACAGTTACAACTGCAGAGTTACTACTAGTACTACCTACTTCAAAAAACTGACAATCTTTCTGAAAATCTCAAACTAACATCAATAACCTAGTTACAAACTAACAACAAACAGTCATACAGTTATTTATTGTGTAACAAACCAATTTAAATGTACGAAATAAAACTAGGCACATATGTATGTATGTGTTCACAATACACCGCAACAATTCCAACTAGCATAGGCTAGCGGAACTCGTTAAAAAGTTCTACAATATACAAACAGATATGCAAGACCAGTATACACGGACCTTCGAATGTATTAAAAAATCGGACAAAGCGAGACTATAATAAATTGGTTTTGTGTACCTCGATGTGTAGCCATGTCATATTTTTAACGTTATTTGTTTTGTAATAAGGTCGAAAGTCCTATGAAAAAATTATAGATTAGAATAGGTTAACTTGCTGACGTATATACATGGCATGAAATATTTTGATCCAATTTACACGGGAATACATGATATGCGGTTCTCGTTGTTATTTTCTATTCAAATTGCAACTTTGAAACATCCATGGACGATAGTGGACTGAGTTAATATAAATAAATATATTGATAATAAGAAAATGATAGGGATTTTTTTTTAAGTGGGGAAATTCATCGAATGTCTTCTCCCGCCTGGGTGAGGCGGAAAGGAATGTCAGACTCTTACTTACTAAAAACCACCCCGTTCCTGCTCCTACACTTCGAGCCGGAGCCCTGGCAACCCGTTAAGTTCTCGGCGGCTCCGTATCGGCATCAGCCCTATTGAGCCCCATCCTGTCTGGTCTGATGGATCTTTGAGGCGCGGGCGGAACACGACGCGCCATATGCTCGGGAAAATGATAGGGATACAGACTAGTATTTACATCGATTAAAAGTATGCTACATTCAAGTACAATGTGAGTGCCAGTAATACAGCACCATGCCCTCTAAGTAAGAATACAATGACTTTAACAAAATCATCTAAGTAGTGATATTTATTTAAGCCTGTACACACAGTGCATACATTAACTCATTGAATGAAAATCTTACAAACTGGTCACAACATTTTGAACAGAAGCTTAACTACGACCAAATAAAATAGAAACACAAAGAAATATTCCTAGTAAACGTACTATTAAAACATTTTCGCATAATTTCCTTTGAACGCTCAAAGGACAAGGCTTACGTTTGCATAACAGTAATTGGCAGATGTATGGGAAAGCCTCGGACGTTATTTCCCACGCCACGTGTTGTGGGACAATGACTTTTTTTTCAACCAATCCAATCCTTTTGGACGCAATACACTCCCGTGTGAATTGGACGCGAGCCACCACCTGCTACTCCTGATAGGTCCGCATCAATTCTGATGGCCATGTACCGAATATTTGAAATTGGATGCCAACATGACACCGATACTTTTAACGTGTTCGGTGTGGAAACATCGGAAATATTAAATTTACATGCATCAATTTTGTTTTTGAAGCCAACCCTAAAGATATGATCCTCTAGTCTCTACGCAATTTTTGGTTAAAAAATGAAGTTTGCAAACAATGGAATTCTTTTTTAGTGAAATTTACGAATTTACAACTAATCTTCTGACCTCGACTAGGATTAACCACTTCAATGAACAATAAAAATGTTATGAGACAACTATAATAAAATTAAAACACTAAACTACATCTTTAAAAGCCAAACTTAACAAAAAATGTCAAGGGAAATCAGAACCGCGCTGGACTATCGAGGAGCTCATGATAAAGGCATAAAGCAACATCAGTCGGCTAATACCTCAGTGAGGGATACCAAGACAAGTTATGCTGGCTTAGGAACCCCGCAAATAAATTTCCCACGAGGCACGTATTTTACATCGTTCGCGACAACCAAGACGTAAGATGATCCGAAATATTTTTAAAAAAGATACCGAGAGACGCCCTATTTATTAGTTTTGGTTGGAAATTGAAAAGAAATGCTAGAAGTGAAATTATTTACTAATGTAATTCGGATCTTTTACCGAAAACTTGAATGGATCATTGTGAAATTTCATATTTTACGAAATAAACAGCTGAAACTAAGAATTCATTCATCCAAACCTGAGGCATTTGGATGATATATTGCAACTTTAGTCCTATATCCTGACTGTGAATATGGACATAGGGAACATCAACCATACACATGTCATTTAAACAATATGTAGTTTTACAAATTAATCGAAATTTGGATTGGTACTGATATTCAACATAACAATCATAATATTATAGCATATGTATATGTTTTGACTTTAACTTTTCTTTTTCTATTCGTCTTTTTGTTTGAGGGGGAATATCATCCAATGACTACTCCCGCCTGGGTGAGGCGAGAGGGAGTGTCAGACTCTTACTGACTAAAAACCACCCCGTTCCTACTCCTGCATTTGGACCCGACCCCGGCAACCTGTTAAGCCTTCCGCGGCTCCGTATCGGCATCAGCCCTATTGGGCCCCACCTGTGGTGGTCTGATGGCTCTTTGAGGCGCAGAATGCGACGCGCTGTATGCTCGGATATGGTTCTGATACTACTACTACTACTGATACTACTACTACTACTGGGGCGTGAGGAAATTCGTTCCCTCACGCGCCCCGCCTCCTCCTTAGCTAGCATGATTGCTTCGCAGAAGGAGGAGACAGCATCCCAATCTCCCTCGCTCCGTATCATAGTTTGAACTAGAGAGCCGTACGCGAGAGATCGCTGTCGCTGATCACATCCCTGAGGACACGGCGATGCTCAACCTACGCAGGGCACACCGCCACAGTGTGCTCCACTGTGTCCTCCTGGCGGTCCTCGCAGCGATGACACCCGGTTTCTATTCGCTTAGCATTTAAATACCATTTACCAGGAAATACAGATCGTACAACTAAAATAACGTGTAATATAAAACCCCATTGATTAATCCCTACATTTTATCCCGCTCCACGTTATCCGTCCATTGTTTATCCGTCTTCAATTTCAGTACAAACAGAATGGAAACAAAAGTTAATATTTTTGTAATCGTGACCCTCCCAATTAATTAATTTAATTAATCTACTTCGGAGGGGAGGTCGGAATGCTTTGCTTTCTTCAAAGTTTTCTTATAAATAAGCCTTCGTTTTGAAATGAACAGAGAGAATTAATGGTGGTTTTGTAATAAGCGAGTTTTAAATGTTTCATGTTATTTAG